GTTTTATTACTATGTTCATTTAACATAAATGATAGCCATAATCCGTGCCTTAAAAAAGACAAAGAAAAGATATACACCTTCTTGAACCACAAGAATTGGAATAAAGATTGGAGTTTCTGTAAATGTTGCATGTATGAATGTTTTAATAAATACTTTCTTGAATATATTTTTTAAAACTACATGTTGCACTAATAAAAGAGATTATGCTACAGTTCCTTGTTTCTATTGCTCTATATAATTTTGCAGTAGTTTTCTTACAAAAATTCAAAATTCTTTCATTGCATAATATTGCTTCTGCAAAATCTTAAGTACTTTTTATAATTGGACTTTAATGTTAAGTGTATTGATAACCATTGCAACCTTACCTTAAGCAAGAGGATCTAGCTATTGTACCTCACTTCCTTTATCACTTAGACTACTTTGGCTTTATATAAAGCTGACCTTAAAAGATGACCAGAAAATTGCAACTATTCCAGAATGTACCATGCATGCTTGCTGGCTGTCAACACCAGGAACATATAAGTCCAATTTTGTGGGTCCTGCATTGGGTAGAATTTAAGGTGTGTTCACCTATATAATACTTCATGTTCCAACTGGAATCACTCAAATTCCTTACATCCTTTAATTGTAAATGACTTTTGGTCCCATATTTCCAAGAGAAGAGATAAATCAAGGCTAGAAGATGCACATCTCTAATGATACCAACATACTGTTGTTTTACATGTTTTGTTATATAAAATGGAAGTTGCTGAGAGTTATTAGATTGTAGAGCATAACTGCAGGGACTCCAGTCAGTTGCCAAGTGTCAACACTGACTTGAAAACACTCCCCCCCACACACACACACACACAAAATTAAAAGGTGGAACATTAAATAAAAAAGGGACTAAGATAAAAATTAAGTTTTCCTATGTTTTCAGCTTCAAGTAAAACTATATACTACTGTTGCTTTTAGAAAGCATTGGGGGAGAGGGGGCTGAGAAACCTATTCTTGATTAGTTGTGGAAATCTTGCCAAATATTCTGGTTATTGCCTCTTTTAAAAGTATTACTTTCACTCATCCAGAGCACTAGTACCAGTGCATTCTGATTAGACAAAGTGTTTACATGGTTACATGCCACAGAAAGTAAGCCACCAAAACTCTTCATTGTAATAAAACATTATTTCTGTAACACTTAACAAATATTTTGATAGAAGCAGAAGCATGCCTTTATGCCATAGTAGACAACCCATACCTTATTCAGTCATTGTTTCAGAAATAATTCATTAGCTAAACAGAAGAAACACCATGTTTGGACAAAAAAGCAGTGAGATTTGGAGTGACTTCCTGTTGGCTTTTCCATTGAGTTTTTTTGTGGGAATCTAGCAGGAAGCATCAAAAATCCTTTCCTTCCTTCCTTCTCTTTCTCCCTTTTCCTTCTTTCCAACTTTTTTTTTGCTCCCTCATTCCCTGCTATTCTGTCACAGACTTCCTTATTTGCCTCTCTGTCTTCTATCTAGAATTCCTGCCAGCTTCATTTACGTTTCTGGGAAGCTTATAAAGAAAGTCAATGCAAAGTCAGAAGGAAGTTGTAAGTCAAAGACCAGCAGGCAGGTTAATGGTTGCTGTCGAGGGAGGGAGCAAGATAGCCCATAGAGTTGCAGGTCAGAAAGAGCGCACATATTGATTGTGTGCCAGAGATGTGCAGGTCAGAGTAGTGAATGAATGGGCAGCGTAAGTAGCGAAGGCAGTGGTGGGATTCTGCCGGTTCTAGGCGGTTCGGCTGAACCGTTTGTTAAATTGCTGGCTTGCCCCGCCCCTCCGCACCACTATTTATTGCCAATAAATAGTGGCGGGCGAGCCAGCAATTTAACAAATGGTTCGGTGTTTTTTTGTAATTTTATTGGCCCGCGGAGCTTCAGCATAGGCTAATTAGCGGTTGATTAGATCGGCCTCCCACTCTCAGCTGATTTGCTCTCAGCTGTTTTGTTCAGGGCTCTGCTGCTTGTTTGCTTGTTGGAGCAGGTTTTTTTTTCCCTAGCTATGCTGAAAAATGAAACTGAAAGTAAAGCAGGCTGTTGGCTTTGCTGTTGCTGCAACGTTGGAAAATTAGGCACGCAGATTTTTCTTTTTCCTCACCAAAAAAGGTAGGTGCAAACTACCTTTACTGAAAAGGTAATTTTCCCTAAAGAGGTAGTTCCTCTTTAGGGAAAAAGAGGAGAGTTCAAGATTTTAAAACACAAAAGAAAAAAAGCTCTATTTAACTAGGGAATTGTAATAATTGAGATAGTATTAATTGTATATTGTGTTGAAAGCAGAAATGGTTAAGTTGTGGTTTGGAGGAATATATGGGGGAAATTATTTGGTTTATTATTATTGGTAAATATAATTAATTGATTTATAAGAAATTGGATTGCATGGAAATAATTGGAATATTCATGTTCATATTGATTAATATACAAAAAAGATAGTTATATAACTGATTTATATTAAAATGTTGAATTTATATTAAACAACTGTAATATTACATAATTAACCAATGTGAGGAAGGATATAAAAATAGATGACAATGGGAAGGGGTATAATATAGAAGGGAAAAATTGAATTTGATTAACATTAGAGATGAAGATGAAGGGTAATATTGGTTTTTTTAAAAAATAGATAAGGAATAAATATGGCAAAAAGGAAATTTAGAAATTGTAAATTTAATTGAAATGACTAAACACTGTTTAAATTTGTGAACCGGCCAAATACTCTGTTCAAAGAAAATAAATTGTATGTTTGTATGTGTGATTCTAATTACTGCTATTTATTCATATTTGTTCTCTTTTATTCTTTAAAGTTTAACAATTCATTCTTTATCTTAATATCTTTATATTTGTTTGGGGTTGCCTTTCTTCCCTTTCATCTTTTTTACTGTACAGCAATCTTTTTCCTCAAACCTACCACCTCTCTCTTTTCTTTCCTTCTTATTTTCTCCTCCCCCGCTTCTTCTCCTCCCTACTTCCTCTTCCTTTCTCCTTCTCCTCCTCTCTTCCTGCCTCTCTTACCCTCAGGCCTACTCTAATTTCCCTTCCCTTCCTTCCTCTCTTCTCTTCCTTCCCTCTCTCTCCTTCCTCCTTCCCTCTCTATTGCTGTATCCTTTTGTGCATATTGCTGTATCCTTTTGTGCATACTCAGAGGGCTGAAAAAGTCATTTTTGACCGGTCCTCGCACTTTTGACCAGTCCTCGCACTTACAACTGTCCTCACATTTTACATTTTGCGCCCTATCTTGTCACCATGGTGAAGAGAAGTAGTGGTGAAATGACTGACACGGTTGTTAAGAATGCCGCAACGGGCATAAATGTGAGGATGGTCATAAGTGCGAGGACCAGTCAGAAATGACTTTTTTCAGCCCTCTGAGTAGTCTCTATGCACATAGCCACATCCACACGGTCACATGACCAGCTAGCCATGCCCACCGGTCACATGACCACCAAGCCACACACCCCAACTAAGCCACGCCCACAGAACCGGTTGTTAAAAAAATTGAATCCGACCACTGAGCGAAGGGTGCCCTGGAGTGCAGTATAGATGCTGCGCAAATTGGGACAATAGCCGGGCTGAAGAAGTTGTGTAGCCGTCCCAGGGGTGTTTAAAAAGTTACCATGTGGGTCAAGTAAGACGTGGGGACTGTCTTCCAAAACTGACAACTGCATGGGTCAAGAAGAATGCACAGGGAGGGTCATGAATATGTGAGAAGTATCAAGTTGGGGATGGCATTGGGTGGGGTTGGCATGGAACAGTACCTGGGAGTGCTTGGGAATGTGCAAGAGGTGCCTTGGAAGTCAGGGACATATGGGTGGGCAGTGTGGATCAGGAAGGGTATGTGGGTGGACCCAAGAGATGCTGTGTTGGTCCGGGAAGACACATGAGGGGGCAGCAGAGGTCAAGGAATGCACAGGGAGATAGCATGAGCTGGAAGGGATGTCAGGGGTTCCTTCTTCCCTTTCCTTCATCCCTCTCTTCCCCTTTCTAGCAGACAGGTAACAGTATGCAGCTGGGTGGATGAGGTAGCAGTGGGTTGTGAGATTATCTGGGAAACTGTCACAGAAGATTGAAAATGAAGATGACATGATCCCAGAAATAGCCAGTAGTACTGAAGCAGCAACAAACCTTCATTCTCTCAAAAGTAATTAGTCCCAAATTTCAGACACATTTTATAAATTAGCCCATTTGAAATATTGGTTTAAAAATTCTTACCTATGATGCACCATTCAGTCCAGTTAAAAGTCATGACAAGAGTCATATTTTTCAGTAGTATATGGATTTAAGAATGTTAATACACAGATACAATGTACATTTTGTTTGAATTGTATTTTATATTTTCCAATGAACATCTTACAAAATGTTTGGTATACTATAAAAATGTCTTCATATATTTATCTAACAATTTTGTATAATTACAGTATCTGAATTAGATTATCAAAGTAATTTTATGAATTTATTGGTTTCAGTAAATACTGAGATGGTATTATTTTATATTAAAATGTTTGATTTTACAGGATTATAGTCCTGTTTATGGACTATACTATATCCTTAGTATAAATACAGGATGGGTATATTTTCAACCAATTATAAGTAACATCTGACTTATTTTGTAGGGTCCATAAAATGGATTACGGCAGTGGTGAAATCCAAATTTTTTTATTACTGGGTCTGTGGGCATGGCTCGGTGGGTGTGGCAGGGGAAGGATACTGCAAAATCTCCATTCCCACACCACTCTGGGTCCAGCCAGACGTAGTATTTGCCAGTTCTCCAAACTACTCAAAATTTCTGCTACTGGTTGTCCGAATTGCTCAAAATTTCCGCTACCGGTTTTCTAGAACCTGTCAGAACCTGCTGGATTTCACCCCTGGATTATGGTATTTATTAAAATGTTTTTAAGTTTCTAATCATATAGGAATACATCTAAATTGTGTTGAAGTAAATTTGCAAAACTGGTTAAAATCCTATGGAGAAAGAGGTGACAAGGAAGCTGAAGCTGCATTTTTATTTCCCACTTCAGTTCATCATAATTCGATCAGCATACAATAAATGGAAAAAGGATTAGATTAGAAAGCAATAGTACAGACAAATAGCCAGAACTATAGAACTTGTATCAAGGAAACAAAAGTTCAAACTAAGCTTAATATTAGTAAGATATCCTAATAACAACAAAAGGACTGCTTTAGATATATAACATTACAGAAAAAAAAAAATCAGAAACCAAAAAGGTGGAACTACTCAACTCCAGTCTTCTCAAAAACAATTCCTGTTCCTCAAAAAAAGCAAGGAGCATAACAAGAGTAGGACTGATCTTGAAAGTGATAAAACATGGCCAGGATTTTTTTTTTAACTTTGAGTTTAAATCACCAAGACCTGATGAATTGCGCCCGCCCCTAAGGTACTGAAAGATTATCTTCTGACGGGACCACCGTGATCCTGAAGAGATGGGAAGAGAGAACAACTGTCTTGTGTTTGAAAAGTGGGAAAAAGAAAATGTAGCATTCAATGATCCAGCCAATCAGACATTCTAGCGCAGATCCTTTTAAAAAAGTATGTGTAAGTGCCTTGAAAACAGTGCAATTCCCAGAAATCCAATATTTCATTTTCTCATCTCCTCTTTATTCCAATTAAAAATTACTTGACAAAGCACCCTGTACTTTTCTAATTCGAAAGCAGTTAAGCCTGGCAAAAATCGCACGAACGGATACCGAAGTGGTTCACAAATCGTAGTGACTATTTGTCGATAGTTCTTCTCACACTAGAGAGGCATTAAAAACGTTAAGTCCTAGATTGATCCCCCCCTCCCCCCCCCAGGCAGTTTGGCAGGACAAATTAGTTTCCTCCTGGTCTCCCATTCAGAAGTCCTCGGCCGAAGAATAGGTTTCATCCCTTTCGATTAAAATTCTCCACCACCTAAGCGGGGATGGGGTGGGGGTGGCGGGGGAAGAGAAAACAAAACCCAAAAAGAAGAAAAATAAGAATCCGCTCCACTCTGCACTGCTGGCCGTTGTGATGTCACAACGGATCGAAGAGTTTGAAGACTCCACCCTCTTCATCGCGATCGCCTCGCTTACTAGTTCTTCGCCTTCCCTTCTTCTTCCTTTTATTCCCTCCTTGTGCGTTTATCCCCGCCCCTTTCCCCCCCCCCCCCCCCCCCCCCCCGCGCGAGATAGCACGCACGCGACAGCTGTGACGGTGTTCACCCGGCCCTCCAAAACCGCCTCTCTTAACCCCCCCCCCCCCCCCCCCGTGGGGCCCCCTAGTTTTTTTTTTTTTTTTCCCCGCGCGCCACGCACCGTCTATCTCTCTCTCCCTTCCTCCCCGCCGTAGGGCGGTGGCGGTTGAACCACCCCTTGAGGTGTATGAACAACGCCGCCCCCGGAGGCCGCTGTTCGGGCGGGGGGGCGCTTCCCCTCCAGCCTCAGCCCCCGTGGGGCGGCCCAGGCTCGCAGCACGGAGCTTCTCTCAGTTTCGCTCCGATCTTTCGGCGCCCCGCTTCTCTCCCTACTGCTGCCCAGCCGGGAACGGAGGGAGAGGAGCGTGCCGGGCGGTGCGGCGGCTCCTTCTCGGCATGTCAGCGGCTGCCCCGCAGCCACCATCTCGGGGTGCGGAGAAGAGGAATGGTGGGGCCTGGTTACTGGAAGAGAACCATCGGGAACCGTTCCTGCTTCCTTCCGGCCAAGTAACTGAAGCTTCCCGGGAAAGTGGCTCCGCCGAGGGTTTGCAGTCGCAACGACAGCAAGAGGACGACGAGGACAACGACAAGTGGCAACGGGGGAGGCCGCAGCCGTGTCATGTGGTCGAGGCACCCCCGCCTAAAGAGAATCCCTGGACGCGTCGAAAGCCTCCCCCCAACTCCGGTAGTAGTTTATCTCCTCCCAACGCTTCGTCGGGCGGCGAGTTAACTTCGCAGGATCCGGGTGAGAAAGGCCGCTGCAGGTGGCGGGGAGTGGGGGGGTGGGGAAGGGCGGCGTTAGGTGGGAGAAGTTGTCAAATTGAGTAGCAGCGCTACGTGTGTGTGTGTGTGTGTGTGTGTGTGGCTTGTGGCGTGTGTGGGAATGACGGCGTTTCGCGCTCGAGTTTCTTGAAAGCTCCCCCCTCCCTTCCCCTCTTTCGTATTGACCCCGAGTAACACGAGCTGTGGAAAAAAGGCCGTCGGGGTGTTTATCAAGCCGACCTTTAAATTAAGAAGTGTCGCCGTTCGAAGTTTAGGCACGCGGTCGGGTTAGGAAAGTTGAGCGTGAAGGGAGGGATGTGGCGGGTTTGGGGAGTTAGGCGAGACCGGAGAAGATTGGAAAGCTGCTAACTGGAAACAAAAACCGCTAGAATTGATAGTTGGTATTTGGAGGTCTTTGGAGAGCGATCGTGGAGTTGGGAATGAAGTACGTCGTCGTCTGGTTTGAGTGTTTTTTTTTAAAATATTTCCAGAGAACCGAACACCGCACATTTTTAATGTGGAACAACCTGCGACTCTTTCTTTCTTTCTTTTTTTTTTTAAAAAAGAAAGTATTGCTCTAAAACGCGGTTTAACAACATCGGATATTTATTCTGACATTTAATATGTTATAAATCTTAAATGATATCTGAGCTTGCTGGCAGGGGGCGATGTATGTTAACATTCATTATTACAGTCACACTAATTTCATCCCATTTCAATAGGGGACAGATAGGGAAATGGAATGCTTTCCATTGAAAATACCCTGTCTGAACTTTATTTCAAACTTTAATCATATTTACTGAATATATTCATGGCAACAGAGTGGATCAGCATGCAAAACACTTTTTTAAGAAGAATATTGATGTTCTTAAAAATATTTTAAACTACAAATAACTAGATTTTAGATGATGACTGAATCCAGTAGTTATAATAAAGTATGGGTAAGGTTTTGGAGTAATAGGGAAGACTAGGTTCTAGTCACCCTGAGTCATGGAAGCTTGTTGAGTGATTTTGAGGTAGCCATTGTCTCAGCCCAATAGATTCTATACAGGTAGTCCTTGACTTAGAAGAGTTCACTTAGTGACTGTTCAGAGTTACAACAGCACTGAAAAAAGTGACTTATGAACATTTTTCACACAACCTTTATAGCATCCCTGTGATCCCCATGTGATCAAAATTCAGATGCTTGGCAACTGGTTCATATTTATGACCGTTACTGTGTTCCAAGGCCATGTGATCCCCTTTTGCGACCTTCTGACAAGCAAAGTAAATGGGGAAGCCAGATTCACTTAACAACTGGGTTTATTTATTTATTTATTTATTAAATTTATATTGCTGCCTATTCGCACATGGCTACTCAAGGCGGCTTACAGAATATAAAACCTCATTTAAAGCAACGTTCTAATCTCTGGGGGAATGATGTTCCAGAGAGAGGGTACCACCACAGAGAAGGCCATTCTTCTGGGTCCCACCAGGTGTATCTCCCTAGGAGATGGGACCCGCAACATACCCTGCCTCCCCACTCTGATGGGTTGGGTAAATGTGACCAGCAAGAGACAGTACCTCAGATAACCTGGTCAAGTCATGAAGGGTTACTAACTTATCAATTGCAGTGATTCACTTAAGTGGCAAGACATGTTGTAAAATGGGGTAAAACTCACTTAACGAATGTCTCACTTAACAACAGAAATTTTGGGCTCAATTGTGGAATAAATTCCCCAAACTGCATCTTTTCTATTATTTTCAATAAAAATTGCCAATTCAATCGATCAAATGCTTTCTCTGCATCAGGAAATATCAGCACCGCAGGGATTTGGTTGTTCTTCCCCAAATACTTCAATAGGTTAACAACTTGCCTTACATTACTCTTCATTTGTCTACCATTTATAAAACCAATTTGATCATTATGAATCATTTGTTGCATGACTGTCATTAACCTATTTGCTAATATTTTAGCAAAAATCTTGTAATCTGTATTCAAAAGTGATATGGGCCTATAATTTTTTGGCTGGGTGTGGTCTTGCTCCTCCTTTGGAATCAAAGAAATATAAGCTGTCCTCCAAGATGGGGGTACATCTCCTCCAGATTGTATATTAGTAAATAATTCTTTAAGTGGACCCACCATTTCTAACTGCAAATGTTTATAATAAGCAGCTGTCAATCCATCCGTCCCAGGAGCTTTACCCACTTTCAACTGCTTAATTGCAGACATAATCTCCTCAGTGGTTATTGGTTGATTTAAACCCTCCCTTTGCTCTTTTGTAATTGTAGGAATATTCTCTTTCTGTAGATATCTATCTATATCTGTACCTTGAATTTTATCACCAGCATATAACCTCGTATAAAATTCTAAAAATGCTTTTTTAATCATTTTGCTGATAAACCTCTTTACCTTTATATTCTATTTTCTCTATGGTCCGTGACTTTTGTTTTTTCCTTAACAAATATGCTAACCACCTCCCTGGTTTATTAGCATTACAAAAAGTATTATGTTTAGCATATTGCAAATTAGTTGCGACCTGATCAGCCATTAACATATTAAATTGCCCTCGCAATAAATTAATTGCCTCTTTTATTTTCTTATCTGCTAGATTCAATATCAAAGCTTGTTCTTTTTTTCTAATTTCCTCTTCTAAATCCTTCCTTTTTTTTCCTGTTTGCATCTATATTTATTATTCAAATATATCAAAATGCCTCTCATATATGCTTTGCTTGCATCCCAAACCATTTCCATAGATGTACCGTTATGCATATTTATAATAAAAAATTCTTTCATAAATTTTTTACATTCTTTTACATTTTCCTCATATCTAAACAGATTTTCATTTAACCTCCAAGACCTCTTAGGTCCCCTTCCATACTCTGATTCCATCCAGACTGGACTATGATCCGTTAAAACTCTTGGACAAATCTTCATCTTCTTCACTCTGGAAAAGAAATCATTTGTAATTAGTATAAAATTAATCCTTGAGAAAGATTGATGTCTATCAGAAAAAAAGGTAAAGTCTTTTTCTTCGGGGTTGCTCTCTCGCCAGATATCTCTCAGTTCCATATCCTTCATCATTTCAAAAAACAATTTTGGCAATCTGGCACGCGTTGAAATGTTCTGCAAGAGCCCCTTCTTATCTTTTTAGTGTCCAAAACTCCATTCCAATCACCCAATAAAATACATGATTTATAGTCCCATTGTAATAACTTGGAATGTAAAAGCTTATAAAATTTTTCCTGTTGTTGGTTCGGTGCGTAGACTCCAATTAAAAGTATTTTTTCTCCTTTTATTAAAAGTTCAATTGCTATAAATCTTCCTTGATCATCTGCTTCAATTAATTTAGCAATTAAGTCTTTTTTTAGGTATATAACTATACCATTCTTCTTTTCAGGAGCAGATGCAACAAAATGTATACCTAACCTTGCATTTATTAAGTATTTTTGATCTTTACTTCTGATATGAGTCTCTTGTAAACAAATTACATCACTTTTAAACTGTTTCAAATAATGAAATATTTTTCTCCTCTTTTGTGGTGAATTTAGGCCATTAACATTCCAGGTCAAAAATCTAGTTGCCATTCTTGGCCCTCTGAAGCACTTGGAGCATCTGCTGGAAATCTCCATGCATTTTACTTTTTGGTCTTGCTCCTCCCACTGCTTCTGTTCACAAAATCTATTAAGGCAATATCATATATGGTGGACCTGTAACAAAATCAAGGCATTTTGGATAAAAATTTGGTGGGTGATGCAGAACATTTTGAAAAGAAGGTTGAAATTTACTTCTCAATTGTTTCTACTGGGTATAACGACGGATTGTACAGTATTAGAGACTAAATTGATTTTGAACTTAATATCAGCAGCTAGGCTGTTGGTAGCGCAATACTGGAAGAAGGACTCTTTGCCTACTATTGAAGAGTGGATACTGAAAGTAACGAACTTAGCAGAAATGGCGAAAATCTCAGCGTATTTGAAGGACTATACACAAGAAAGATACGTATTGGAATGGAGAAGATGGATTGATTATATTCAAAATAAGTATCAGACAAGAAAATATCAAATAGCTTATGAATGAACGTTAAGTATTAAGTATTATGTTATCTATAGTGGAGTTAAGGTTTCAGGGGGGGAATTAGTAGTCTGAGGATAGGTAGGTTAATTTAGCTTATGATTGTTAACTGAAATACCTTGTATTTTGCTCTGGGAAGTCTGGGGGGGAGGGTGGGATGAGGGGAGGGAAAGGGTGGGGGGAATATGGGGGGGGGAACTTTCTGTAAAACTTTTCAATAAAAAAAATCTATTAAGGCAATATATCAGAAACAAACAGCGCAAATAATAATTAATGGTAGTTTAACAGATACTTTTAATATAGAAAAAGGAACAAGACAAGGATGCCCTTTGTCTCCATTATTGTTTATTTTGACTTCGGAATTTTTATTAAGTAAGATACGTGGGTCGCACAAAATAAGTGGAATTAAGATTAGGCAGTATGACTATAGATTACGAGCATTCACAGATGACTTGGTTGTTACCTTAACCCAACCATTACAGTCTGTTGTAGGTCTAATGGATATAATTAATCAATATGGACAAGTATCTGGATTTAAAATAAATACAGGGAAAACGAAGATAATAACTAAAAATATGACTACAAATCAAAAAGAAGAATTAGAAAGACTAACAGGATTTGAAATTGTAAAAAAAGTTAAGTATTTAGGAGTTTATATTATGACATCAAATGCGAAATTATTTAAGTATAATTATGATCCATTGTGGCAAAAAATACAGAGAGAGATGGAAAGCTGGAAAAAATTACAATTATCCTTGCTAGGAAGAATAGCAGCAGTAAAAATGAATGTTTTGTGTAAGTTTTTGTTTCTTTTTCAGATGATACCAATACTTAAAAAAGATGAGAATTTGAAGATATGGCAGAAGGGTATTAATAATTTGTTTGGGCAGGGAAGAGACCGAGAATAAAACAAAAAATAATGCAGGATACACGTGAAAAAGGAGGTCTCAAAATGCCTAATTTAAGACTTTATTATGAGGCAGCTGTTCTATCAGCAATGAGTGATTGGATGAATTTAACAGAAGAAAGAATTTTGAATATTGAGGGATATGATTTGGTTTACGGGTGGCATGCTTATTTATTATATGATAAGAAAGTGGACAAGACTTTTAAAGTCATATATTAAGGAATGCTCTATTGCGTGTCTGGAAAAAGTACAAGTATAAACTAAACGAGAAGTTACCATTAGGGGCAATACTCAGACACGCGATAGAGAATATAAGTGTAGAGCAAAGGCAGGATGTGATTACATGTAAAGAGCTTCTTAACAAGGAAAGAGGTATACTACAATTAAAATCTTTGAATCAACTAAGAGAAGAAAGGACAATTTGAACATGGTTTCAACATGTACAGTTGCAAGCTAGATGGAGAGAAGATCAGAAAATTGGTTTTCTGCAAAATGAGGAGAACTTGGTAAAACAGATTAGAGATCAAAGTCAAATGCATATAAAAAGGTTGTATAATTCGTTGCTAGAAATAGATTCAGAAACGGAGTTAGTTAAGGACTGTATGATAAAGTGGGCACAAAATATTGAAGAACCAATAATGATGGAACATGGGAAAAAATATGGGTTAGAAATGTGAAGTTCACGCAAGCCCAAAACTTAAGAGAGAATTTTTATAAAATGTTTTATAGATGGCATCTGGATCCTAAAAAGCTAGCCTGTATGTATCCAAGTGTGCAACCTAAGTGTTGGAGATGTGAATGTGATGATGCCACGTATTATCATATATGGTGGACATGTAAAAAAATTAAGGCATTTTAGATAAAAAATATGGTGGGGGAAAATTGTTGTAATGACTGTTAAAACTTTTTAAATAAAAATAAAAATAAATTAAAAAAATTGTGGAATAAATTGAGGACTACCTGTATTTCATTTTGGGGTGGTATATGTTTCTTGATTTATTTGGTATTAACAGTAGAATGTTTCTAATTCCTTCCTTGTATTATGAAGCTACACATTTTTATGGAAACCTAGAATTCTGGAAGAACCATTAGGAATTTAGTTCAACTTCTGCACTGCACAGAAAAAAATCAATTAAACCATGCTCCAGAGGTGGTTTTCCAGAGACAGAAAGCTCACAGTCTCTACTGTTGTGAAGATCTAAGAGTTAGGAAATTTTTCTTGACGTTTAAATAAAATCTAAGTAGGTCCAGTTTATATAAAGTATGCCCATGTAAAGTAGCTTCTGATCATTTTCCCTACGACACTTTTTTATTTCCCTTACTACTGACATGTCTTCCTTTCGTTTTTTCCTTTACATTGAATATCCCAACTTCCTTCTGTCTCTTTATAGAGTATATTCTCAAATCTGTATCATCTTCATCACCTTCTTCTGAGTCTATTCTGACCTGACAATATCATTCTGGAAATGAGGTATTCAGTACCCCAAGTGTGGTCTTGCTGATGCAGAGTAAAGGGAAATAAGATTTCATGTATCTTTAATACAGTATTATTACCGTCCAGAATTGCATTATATTTCCTAGTGTTTGTTTCACTCTGCTAATTCATGTTCAGCTTCCTGTGAATGACTGCACCCAATTTTTTTTTGCTGATATGGTTTTTTACTTCCAAGCCATGAATCCTTTATTTTTTTGTGGTTCTATGTTTTCTCTCCCCAAATGTAATACTTTACATTTTTCCCTATTGAAAAACATTGTATTCTTCTCAACCTAGTCTTCCAATCTGTCAAGTTAAATTATAATCTCATTCTATCATCCTGGCTATTGCCCAAATGTCTCAATGTAATATCCACAAGTTTGATGAACAGGTCACCAATCCTGTTATCCAGGTCATTAATAAAATAAGACTAAGAATCTAACAAGACTCCTGTGGGCTCCCACTGGTGGCTGCTATCCAAGTTGATGCTGACTTTATGTGCAATTAGTCAGCCAGTTGTGAATCTATCTTTCTGAAGTGTTGCTCAAATTACCTAATAGGTTAGGTGAGAAGGTCCAAAACTTTATGAAATCAATGTAATGTATATCCACAGCATTCCTCTTATTTATGGAACACTTAGCCCGTCAGAAGAATTTTGTCTCACATTATCTATTTTTGACAGTGCCATGTTTTTGGTAGCAATATTGTCTTTGAGATGCTTATAATGGCTTGCTCTATTACCTATTCTGACATATTTCCAGGAATTGACATTAGGCTCACTATAATTATTGGGATCCTCTTTTTCCCCTTCTTTCAGAGATGGACTATATTTATCGTTCTTCAGTTTTCTGGTATCGGTATCTCTACTATTCTAGGAGTCCTCAGAGAAAATATCAAAGATCCTAACAGCTCTTCAATCACCTCTTCTTTTAGTGTACTAGCATGTATTTAATGTGACCCATGTCTTGATGGCATTGAAATTACTGTAAGATCTTTTACTACATCCTTACAAGTCTGTATCTTCCCCTGTTATGTTTGTTATGTCTGTGCTACTCAAATTATCATTTGCTTTGGATGGAGCAAATCACTCCATTCTCAAGCACCTCATAGGCACCCAAACACTTTTGACCAGGACGGAGAAATGATGGAGACTGTAAGCTTCGTCTGCTTGCAAATGGGATACTTTGAAATGGAGAGATTAGCTTGGTTTCAAAACGTCCCATTTGTAAGCCAACAAAGCTTCATCTCCCTCTGGGTGAAAAGTGCACGGTAGAGCCAGGAAAAGGCAGAGGCACGGGGGGGGGGGAGGGAAGAAATGTGGGCGATCCCAATGCTGATAGCTCTGTTTCAAAGCATCCCATTTGCAAGTAGACAAAGCTTCGAGTCTCCGTCATTTCTCCATCCAGATGAAAAGTGTGTCTGCCTGGGAAGCCCTGTGGCATTAAAGCTGTGGGCAAGTAAATAGTGGGAGGAAGTGGGCAGGTGCCTGCAA